CTTGAGTGCTTAGCAAACCTCCCGAGTGCATCCATAACTCAATAGTGTACGCTGTGGTGTTTACCATTTATTAATTATTTGTGGCGGTAAATTTGAGATCGAAGTAGGTGGTTTGCACGTTACCTCGTGCCACCATGCTGGTGGAAGTGAACAATAGATATCTCATCAGCTCTTTTTGTTCGTCTACCAGCATCTGAATTTGACCCGCACACGTCAACGGTGAGTGACAAATGAGCCTAGGTCTTCCCAGGGAACACTTCCTTAAATAGCGCGCCTTCGTGTTTAAATCAACAGACACAATAATTCCCAGTTACTTGTCAAACAATTTGTCGTGTATTTGAAAGACACAGAGAAGACAATAGTGAACAAAGGGAAAAATGGCCACTATTAAATCGATTCAGAATCTTTCAGATGCACAAATCACCACACGTTTCTTTTTAGAGGGTCACCACGGGATAAACCAAATACGCATCAAAACCATAGATTACATTGAGAAAAAAAATATTTTAATTGTTGAATTACAAGTAGTTAATTATAACTTTGTTTCCATCCATGTAGTCATGTACTAAAACCAGGAACACCGGAACACCGAATGTGGCGGTGTAAAAAAATAAAATGTAGATGTAATTTGTTTACCCACGTGACACAAAAGAGCTTAGAAGCTAGAAGCAGGCGCTAAATATATAGTTTCTTAATGTTATTTCTTTGTGGTATAAACAAATGTTGTTGTTGTTCCGGGGTGTTCCGGTGTTCCTGGTTTTAGTACATGCCATCCATGTACGTGTAACTTTTAACTTTTTTCCCAATTAATTCGATCTAATATTCTCTTTTATTTCTCCCTAAACCTAACACCATTTTTTACGGTTAAACCTCAACAAGATCTGTCAGGCAGAAATTAAAATGATTTTAAATCAACAACCAAGCAACCTTCCATGATTGTTTATTTTCATTCAAGTTGATATGAGAAGCTTAATGGTTACAATACAAGGCTGAACATTGACAAAGGATGGTTGAAAAATGACTTTTAGGACAACTGGAGAGGAATAGGGGAAATGAACAAATGAACTTTGAAACAATGAGTGCCTAAAGTCTCAGCGTGGTCTACTAAAAGTGTTTTTTACATTTTTCTTTAACTTTCATTCATCTCCCACTTGCCCCCATTTCAATGTTTCCTGATGTTAACAAAATATTCACTAATTTTTGTCAACATTGTCTGGGGGGAAGAGGGGACTTTTAAGAAACTTATTAGAGATGAAATAAAATATTCCTGTTTATTATATGTTGCGTGGAAGGTTGTCAACCACTGAGTTACCGTAAGTGTGTCAAATACTTTTACCACTCATTGTAGCTATTAGTAATGTTACAAATAACAAAGAGACCACAATAAATGAAAACCTCCTCACTCAGGACAGGCTCTTGATAAATTACCAAAAACAACCTTCTCAATAAAATTTTGGTGGCATATATGGGAGTGAAGTATATTAATTAAGTGAGAAATATCTAATTTTTGTAATTAGTGTGCAACCACATTACATCATGGGATGTGTCATGATGGCCATCACTGATCCCCTCAAAGCTCTAGCAAACTAAAGGAATATCAATTTGTGACAATAGCTGCAACTATATGAAGTCATATGATACAAAATAGTGCCTAGAGGAAAATAAATTCAAACATCCATACTGCTTGTATTTGTTTCACTATTTGTAGATTTTGGGGCTTGCTTCTTATTAGTTCAAACAAAACTTCACATTTTAAGACATTTTCGTCAGTTTCACAACACCCTGTCCCAGAGGTGGAAGCTTTCTTTATTATTCCATCACCGTTTCTCCTTTTACGGCCAGCCACCTTCCTACATATAGTTACAGGGAATAATTATTCAAGCAAATGATGTTGAGCTTGGATTGTTGAGAGGTGGCTGCAATTTCCTAGTACAGGGAAACATTTCCTTGAGGAAAATTTTTTTCTGACATCCATTTTGGCACTAAAAATACAGGCAGTTGGTCTTATAATAATTATCATAATAACAACAGAATCAGAAAAAAGGGCTTCCCTTCAAAATGTTAACATGTAACAAAGCACACACTTCAATCCTACTTTCCGTTAGCCATTTATTCAACATAAATTATCAAACCTTTTCATTCCCCTCTATCTATTAGATGACAGGGAGGGAAGTACAAACACAATAACTTAAGATCTTTTAGCTTTGCCGCCAGCCTTTGGTGAACCATTTGTTTTTTCATATTCCTCAGCTTCCATTTCATCACTTTCCTCAACAACACTTTCCTCTTTCTTCTTCTTGTCACTGTCCTTCTTGCTTTTCTTCTTAGTGTCTTTCTTCTTGGAGGGTGTGGCAGCACTTACACGCTCACGCCACAGCTTGATCTGATACCAGATGAAATTCCATGCCAGCCAGGCTTGCATGAGAATAACTGCAGCCATAGCAGCAAGTCTGAAAAAAAATTAGATTTTTATGAATAAGAACAATTCCCAGTTCAGTGGGGGAACTAATCCACAACTGCATTTTGTTTTGTTTTACTTTACTGAGTGATTGGTTGCAAAAACTAACAGCAACCTCTCAGCCAATGAGAGCGAACCTAAACCAATCTTGACTTCACCGGTCACATTTACCTGCATTTCAGATGGTTGCTTTGTTGTCATCAACACCTCTCCCTTTGTTTTGATTTGTCTTTTTAATTTGTTACTGTACAAGTGAATGTTTTGTATTCTTGGTACAGTGACCTTGTATTTAGCTACAACCTTTAACAGAGCAATGTGTTGTCCTTTTGGGATAAGTGATAGCAGCTTTGACATGAGCATTCCTGTGTTTGCAAGAAAGTTTGAGGCCTTGAGCAAGGAAAGCTAGTGAAAGGGCTGACACTAGTGCCAGTGCCCTTGCAGACCTCTTGCTAGATTGGCCACACCCCAGCACCAATAATGAGCATGTTAGAGAAGTGACTTCAACAAGGATGGCAGAGAAGTTTTCTCACCGTATTGGTGGACTGTTAAAGTTTCCTACATCCACATTTAGACCAGCATTGTCCAGACGGGGAAGTCCATACCTGTTTTATAAAAGGAAACAATTTAAACATTGTCTAGCTTACAAAAGAGACTTAAAGTGAATGCCACATGCCACTGACAACCATTGATATAAAAAGATGACTGACAAATTAACTAAATTTAAAAAAAAAAGTAACAACTTCTATCTAGTCACTGATGGTCAAAGCAAAACAGGTCATTAACATGCAAATCCTGGAGAAGAAAGATTTTTAAACTTTCTCTCCATATCTGACCACACTTCGCATCACCGTCTGACTGTATATCTCTTGGCCACAAACAAATAGGTGTTGGAAAATTCTTCTCCAAGTTGAGGTACCATCAGTGTACATGGAATTGCAGATTACATTAATTTAAAAAAAAAATAAAAATAACAAAATGGTTATTACTTACCAGAAAGTCATGACAGTAAGGGCAATGATTGCAAAACGGGCAATTGCAAATAGGACAGTCCACACCCAGAACCTAAAATGAAAAAAGAAGTGAACATTGTTGTGGCCAGTGAACACAAACACTTATCTTATCAAGTTGGGGTTACATTAGAGTTTTCCCACAATCAAGGAAAAGACAGTGACAAGTGTACTATAGTTTGACCAATTTGAATTGTCTGAAAAGTTACCTCAATTGTGAAATAGCACAGCACTGACTGAGGCCATTTCAGTGGTTGGTGTGTCATATTATGCATCCGAATGAATGCATTTGAGACCAAGCATTTGAGTCCTTTTGTCATTTTTCTTGCAGGACACGTCATTCTCTATCAGTGTCTCTCTGTACCAAATTGAATAAATGGGTTCTGGCAAACTGCCAGGAAAACATGATAGGGAAGGGGTAGCCTGGGAGGGGAGGAGAGGGGGTAACCTGCAATGGTCAGTGTCCTGTTTAGAGGGCTAGCAGTACTCTTGTGGGAGAGATCCAGCAGATATTTGAGTCAGTCTCAGCTGCAGAGTAGAACTTATCTAAAGTCTTAAAATGATAAGAGGAAAATTCTACCAAAGGAAGGAAAGAATTCAGGACAAAATGGTGGTTAACTTACAAGCTCTGAGCAACATCTGCCTTTCCGCTGATGTTTAACATTCTCAGTCCATGGTACAAAGTCTCTACTGAATAATGAACAACCAGGCAGCACAGGGTGACATGAGTAAAGCTGGCAACAAAATAAAGAAATTATTATTGCATTGTACTGTAACTCTCTGACTCTGTAAACAAGTATAGTTCTAGAACACTAAATCAAAGTGACATCTATTTACAAAGCAATTTTTAATACTTAAAGTATTAACACATGGAACCGGATAGGAACACTTATGAATAAAACAATATATCTTAAATAATTAATGAACAAAGACTTACTTCAGCATGTAGGCAGCCCAGATAAATAACAGATATTCAATGTACAACTGAACTTTGGGGAAAATTTCTTCCTGCAAAGATAAACAAGAAATCATAGGAAACAAATAATCACTTGAATTTTTTTTCTGAACGTCAACTCATGGTATGATGTTTCCTTTTTGTCTTAAATGACTATGATGACGTATTTTTTTAACGCTTTTTCCATGATAATATGCTTTAATGCACTTTGCAAGAGATTTTGTTCAGACTGCATTGAGCAGTTTCAAATTTTTGAAAGGAACTTTTGCACGCACCCCCAATTTAGGAATTTTCAGAAACATCAGGCCAAACCACAACACAGGGAGCTATTTGTTCCCTACTCTTTATGAGAAGTGTGTGTGTTTTTTATTACAGTAATACTGTATTATGCCATTGATTCTTACCCTTTTTGCTCTTGTGAAGTACAGTTCTGGAAAGCAGTGCACCCAAAAGGAAATTTGAAGGATGAAGTAGAACTTGAGTGTGAATCTAAAGGAAAAATGATAATTCACCAAACCTATGTCAATAAATTGATCTATATACAATGTATATATGAAGTTCATATATTTTGAACTGCGGTATTAGATACGTATGATGCATGATCCTCGCAGTACAGAGTGCTATTTATGCAATAGCGAAAATCAGACCTGAAAAAAGTCAGGCCTGTACGGGATTTGAACCACTGACCTCTGCAATACTAGTGCAGCGCTCTACCAATTGAGCTAACAAGATGTATCTGATTTATCATCACGGATTTACTACGAATCAACTTAACAGCCTGCTCCCAGTTGGCTTGTTAGCTCAATTGGTAGAGCGCTGCACTAGTATCGCAGAGGTCAGTGGTTCGAATCCCATACAGGCCTGATTTTTTTCAGGTCTGATTTTCGCTATTGCATAAATAGCGCTCTCTACTGCGAGGATCATGCATCATAAGTAAATTGATCTATTTTCAGCTGTTGGGCAAAGACAGAGTTGGGAAACCTCATGGACACAGCTTTTTATCTATTCCTATGTAGCATCAAATGAGTAACCAATTTTTAAAATTCATCCCAAGATAATTTTTCACAGTCAAGCAAAATAGTTCCAGATACACAAGTTGATTATTCAAGAGGAAAAGACAAATAATGTGAACTTACGACATTTCATTGTGTGGATAACCTTCCCAGAGCTTTGAAATATTTGGAATAAATCCTTCCTAAAGTAAAAAAAAAAAAAAAAGAAGGGATGAAAGTTTGCAATTACTTTGATTCTCAACTTGGAAGCAACTTTAACAACACAAAATTTGTTTCATGAATGTTTTATTGTTGTTGTAGTTGTTGTGGAAATGTTGCTGCAAAATGAGACAAATTTAAAGAAAGAGGCTTCCCACAAGAATTACCCTGGTTAAAGTAATTCTCTTTGAATTAAATTTTAATACGAAATAAAAAGCCAAGCAAAGGCCCGAGTTAAAAGCCATAGTGGATGGTCATCAAAAAATCATAACTGACCAGTAATGGCAAAAAGAAATACTTCACCTTCCTTTTACCTCTTAAACAGAATTGTCAATATTTCATTTATTTGGAAGTTCACTCTTTTCTAGCAAAATATAATTATGACATGTTAGAAACATGCCCTGAATCTGGCACAGGTCTTCCATATTACAACATCTTACCTTCACTATAATATCAGCTCCCCAAGCAGCAAAGAAGAAATATAAAGGAAGTAAAGTTCCAGAATCATTGAATTTTGTATTTCTTGTCTTTGATAGACGAAGTTTCCTGGACACTTTCTGCAACCAGCAAAGTAAAGTGAACAAAGGTCGGTCATTAATAACTTTGCTTCTTCACAATAACAAAACTATTCATAATTTGAATTGCTTACATCCCAGACATATTCCTGAATGATTGCATGCACCACAATCCATGCCATTGAATAAAAGAAAATGGTGCAAAAATCCTTTGGTCCATTTGTGTATTTGGTTGGCAAGTCTTCTGTTCCTGGAGGATTGAATAATTTAAATATCAAGATCTCCAAACACTTTAACATAAAGAATTAAACAATTGTATAAGAATACCCTAAATTTCCAAAGTACTTTTCTTTTCATGTTTCTTGAAATATTTATAGTAATTATATCGGGGAAATAATAAATGAAAGTACTAACTGTTTATGTAATTATTTGGTATCTTGGGATCAAAGCAATGAGATGGAAATATTTAATTTTTTTGTTAGAAACTATATAACAAAATAATTTCTCCTTAAATACTAGGGGCTTGTTTCTTACAGAATAAGGGAAGAAACTTTCTAAACAAACTGTGGTGCTGCATTGGTGGGGGGAGGGGGTATTCCAAGATAATTTGGTTTTTCAATGGGGGTGATAATGTAAATTAGCCACTGAAAGGACTTATTTATACTGACCAGGGCTATGCCCAAAACGTCAGTTTTAAAAACCTTTTACAATGGCCAAGTTACATAAACAACCCAGTTAATAAATCAAATTATCTTGTTTTCTACTGGGCTGGTTTGCAAATCATACATTATCATTTTATAGATACAAACTTTTGGTTAACCATAAAGGCTATCACAGTATAAAAAATGTATGCACTAAACTCAAAAGACATATTAACAGTCCGTAAGAATCTGTGTAAGTTATCAACACAATTCAGTTGCACAGACGAATATACAGATCTCAAATCGTGTTAAGGTTGGAGAGAAAAATTGAAGAAATTATTTAATCTGAAAGATTGTTTTATCTTTCAAGAAGATTTCTATGAAAAACGACATTACGTTAATTTGAGTGTACAATTTACTGTGCAAAAAAAGGAGCATTTACAACGAGGTTGTATCTTTCTATTGTCTGCCTAAAATGACCAATCAAAGATGCACACGACAGCTTACGATTTAAACCTACAGGGTAAAGGTAATAATTGATGAAGCTTTTGAAAGAAAGCAAGATCTTAATTTAGCAGTCTAATGGCAGCTAAAGGATTGTGATGTACACTTGATTGATCCCCCAGGATAGGGAAAAATACCATTTAGAATTGGCTACATGTGGTTCACGTGCTGTTAACTGTCGCTTGTCTCCTAAACGGATGTAGTTAATTGAATTTCTTACACGAAAAACACATGATAGTATTTTATTTCTACGTACCATTCAGAGATCGCGACACATTGTGTTGAGGTGCGATAAAAACAGTCGCCACTTTCGATGTTGCCTGGTAAGACAGAACCAGAAGAAAAAAATTTAAATTCAGCCAATTGAGAAAGAAGAATTCATGGATCTTGTGCGAGATGGTCGGCGAGAAAACTAAGTATTACTTTACCTGGAACATCAGCCCGATCATGAAAACCATACATACACAGGAGACTATATCTCCATGATTTGTTATCACAAATTCATGGCTAAGAATCGGAGCATTTTTGCCAGATTTTCGCCGGCTTGGCATATTCTTCGTGACAAAAGAAAAACAGCCGAGAAGAAAAGAAAGAATAGAGAGTGGTTTCCAAGCTTTGATTGCGGTTCCTCTCGTACCCAGTGTATCATCCGGACAAGTCACATGGGAGGGGGGGAGGAGAAGAGGAGTGACTGGGTACCACCCTCTAAGGAGTAAATGTAAATATTGTAGCTTTTTTTTTTCTTAGAATATACATGGAAAAATTACTCAGTTTTGATTGGTTAAGGTAAATGCAGTTTTCAGGTAATTCAGTGCAGAAGAGAGTTAATTCAGCGCAGAGGAGGGTAATTCAGTGCAAAGAAAGTAACCGACCAGATATTCTGCTTGGTCAATAATCAAAGAAGCTCACAGAAGTACCAAACTCACTGAAGTGAACTGTTTTGCCGGACTTTGAAATTTTTTGCGCCTTAAAGATGTGAAAATTTCATTTAATCTTATTGTTTTGATCGCACGCGGTTGTTTTGACCGAACACACTGAATGTCACTTGCAGAGTTTGAATAAATTATTTTCTTCTGCATAATTATGATAAGCTATCACTTTTTTTTTTCATGTATATTATTCATACATAATCATATGATATTTCGAGTGCAATTTGGAATAAATAAGCACTTGTAAATTTTTCAAAGACCTCAAATTGCACTCGCCCTACTTGCTCATGTAATTTTGTTAGTCTTTGAAAAAATTCACCCGTGCTTATTTATTCCAAATTGCACTCCAAATCGTGTGATTACCTATACAAAAAGTTGGATGTCGCAAGAATTTTTTAAATTTTGGGGATTTCTCGCATGTGATTATTGCGATATTACCGGATTATTTTGAAGAAAAGTTGCAGTATTTTTGTTCTTTATCCATTTATTTGAAAAACCGATTGCCTAAAGTCAGATCAGCTGGAAGATTGTATGCTAATTGGATGAAAAAAGGATTAGCTTTCGGACAAAATGTGCATGCCATTTTCTCTCTTTGAATTGGGGGGGGGGGAGTTATTTGAAGATTGTTGGAAATTTTCTGGTATAATTAGATAACCTCGTTCCCAGGGCGTTTTCCTGAGGGAAAAGGCCCTGGTATAGTAACGAGGTTGGTTAATTAGTTGTTTTCGAGGGATATTTAGAGGAAACCTGTGATTTCCAGACATATTTTGTGCCCTAACCGAGCTCTCTGCTGTTATGTCTCTTGTTTTATTTTATTTTTACGATAAAAGTATCATTCTAGCATGGCAACTTTGACGTAATAGTTTCAAATTTTTATTTCTCGGATATTCAGGAGGCCAAAATGAAATTGGTCCAAAGGCTGCTGGTGGAAATTACATTTTCTGATAGGGCAGATTGAGAAGAATAGCCCTAATTATTACACGACTCGGGCAGTCAGAGGGCCAATAACTAAAATCAGCCAATCAAAATGCTCTATTGCCGGTCAATATTCTCTCAGTATTGGACCGGGCACTACTGTCCCGAATGATACCGCACTTGTGTCCCTTTGAACTTCAGTCGTACAATAAATCTCTTATTAACCAAGCTTGCTCGGGACCGTACTGGAAGAATATCGGCCCTCGGTCTTTTTTGAACGGACCTCGCTGCGCTAGCGCTCGATCCGTACTGTCAAGACCTCGGGCCGATATTCTCCCAGTACGGCCCTCGCGCTTTGTTAATAAGATGTATGTATCTCATGGATCCTTATGAAACTTTTAGAATTGGGAAAACTTCCGGTTAGTGTCGAGAAACTTTTAAATCGACCACACCTACTCAACAGTATCTTTTTCAGAATTTCCTGTCGATTATCATCTTAGGGATTGTCAGGGAACTGTTCAGGAAGAGAGGTACATAGGCTCATCATTTTTCGTGAAAAACAACCTAAAAAAGCTCTCCAAGGCTAAGTTGGCTAACAACACGCACGTAAACGCACGGTATCCTTTTGTTATACCAGCCAATCACGATACATGCTCACTGGACATCGTTCAAGCAATATTATATGACGGCTGGAGAGCAGATCAACTTCAGGTGTTCTTCATGCAAAGACAGTTACCCCGACCAAAATATGGATAGCGTCTTCGACAGAAGTTAGCATAAATGCCTGAGAAAGAAGTTTTACTGCCATTGGAGTTATGGCGGGTTGTATTAAAGCACCTTTCAGTGCTAGATTTGTGTCGATGTTCGCAAGTTTGCCAAGAGTGGAGGGAGCTTGTGAAAAGTTTGGATTCCACTCGTTGGAAAGAACTCTTCTTGGCGTCCAAGCGTTGGAAACATCCCAACTGGCCAAATTACACACAAAAAGAACCTTCTTCATGGAAAGATACATATAAGATTCATTATATGGCTTCAAAACAATGGGTGAATAGGAGTGTAGAAGTTCGTTGTGCCCCTTGCTTATATTTGTTTAGAAGAAGGCTCGAAAGACGGCGTGTTCTTCGAGTTGGACGTGGAAGAGAATTTCTGACCATTAAAAGCGCAATAGCTGTGGCAGCGCCATTTGACTGTTTACTTCTTAATGCTGGTGTGTACGACGAACAGCATGTACTGAGCGTTAAGTTTCCGATCGAGATTTGCGGTGAAGGACAACTGGGAGATGTTCATTTACAGATTCCTATTGAACAACAAGCTTCGACAACACGGATTCAAAATATTATTCTACAACCCGGTGTACAGAGGTCACAGAATCCCCTGCCTGTTATTTTGAAGGTCAGTGAAATTTATTTAGATCTAAAGATAATTTTCGCGAAATCTGATAATGCCAGTTTGGAATTTCCTAGTTCATGCGACTTAGCCTGTTCGGAGATCGTAAATTTCTCTTCTCTGAACAACTTTACTTATAACCGTACATATCAATCTCCATTTTCATAAGTTCAAGACCTCTGTTGTGAAGCCAATATACTACTGATCCCATAGGCCCGTGTTCTTCTATCTTTGTACGTCTACTAGTAGTAGTATCTATTATCTAAAATGTAGCTACTACTAGTAGTAGTAGCTACATTTTGCCAAAAAAGTACAAAGTATACACTTGCCAATCTTTATCTATTACATAAGTAAAAATGTTTAAATAAAGACTTATAGCAGACCATGAAGTTTATTTGTGTTCGTGTATTTTTATTTTTAATTTGATGGGCAGGCTACCAACTTGAACAATACAAACAAAAATAGGACACGTCTCAATTTTGACGAATTTTATTCCTCAAGAGCAAGGAGAAACTGAGGAATGGAAATTTCTCTTGAAGGTGTTAGTTCCAATTTCAAATATGTATTTACTATGGGTCAACTTTAAATTTCTGCCACATTTCGTAAAAAATAGCAGTATTTTAGATTTTCCTTGTAAGGAACTTTGAATGTTTGCCATGCCAGCTGCTTAGTGTAAAAAAAAAACAGAGAACCTTGTTTTCATTAAATGTAATCTGGTCAAATCTCCCTCTGAAAAAAGAGCTTTTGAAAATGTTTTCAAATTGGTTTTAGTATCTTTGTTGTAGTGTTTTAAATTTCAAAATATTTGTTATTGGGTAGATGAATTTCAGCTGAGATTTTATGAAATTGAGTGTTCACAAGAGAATGAAGCCCACTGCTTGTGATAATTTGAAACAACGTGATAACGTTTTCCCAAAAACCTTAAATAGTGATAATAATTCCATCAATCCTATCATTAACAATTGTGCATTTACATGGGAGGAAATGTGTGGGGTACTTCTGTAAAACTGTGTTTTGAAAGGAAAAACTTAATTTAAAAAAGGATTGAATTTTTTTGCTGTCATCAAGTGCTCCAAGAAAATTTTATTAATTCTCTGATCAATTGCAATTGGAAGGCTTAAAGCAGGATTGTTGTTCTGATTTTCTTCCTTAAAAATTAACCTAAATTTTAGATTTGGGTTTCTGATCTTTACCATTGTATATCAATTTTTTTGATTTTCTCCTGTATTAAAAACAATAATTTTTTATATGGCTTAATGATCCTGTTACATTTGCATGTTACACCAATCAGATTTGGGCTGTTATCAAAAGCCTGTTGAAATCCTTTTGAATGATTTGGTGCAATTCTGCACAATTATGCAAAATAATGTACAATTGGGTTTTTGTCGATGTGTAAGTGATGTATGATGTTATACATTGAATGAAAATTTTACCTTCCCCTCTCCTTGGGGTTGTGTTATTTCAAGGAAAATTCTAATTTCTAGGAAAAGGTCAAATAGTTGATGGTAATTTGGTATCCTTGCTTTAAACTTCTTGCTGTCAATTTGAAAATAAATTTGTCTTTTCCTTCACCCTATTGGGTTCAAAGCCCTCAGCCCAGACCACCCCTGAAAATCCAGACAAAATGGCTGTCAGATGAAAAAAAACTACATGGTCCAAACAAATTTACCATTTTATGTCTTGGTTTTACTCTTCAGCAGTGAAACTTTAAAAACATGATTCCCAATACAATAAAGAATTACTTAAACTGCTTAAATCCTGAGGATGTATGTTATGCTTTTTTAAAAAAAATATTAAAGTATGGTCATCAAGTGAACAAAGTGACCATCACTGTACTACCTGCTATGTAGAAGGGAATGAAAACATTGTAAAACCACGGTAAGTCTCAGTTGCTGCTCTTAACTCAGCAGAAATGCAAACAAAAAGAATCAGTCAAAATCATTTTGCATTAAAACGGGCTATCTCACGGGTAAGAGAGTGAAATTCATAAGTTTTCTTGCACAGATCAAATTTGAATTTACCACCAGTGCTGACATCAGTGAAAGTCACGAGGTAAAAAAAAAAACTAGAAGTTACAAGTTAAGCCTACACAGACCTGGCAGAAAACTGTCTATAGAACTATTGAAGAATGAAACAACTATCGATTGAGTAGAACCCTTTCAGTTAGAGGACTACGAACAATGCTTAGATTATACCAAACAAAGAAAGTTGTTTTTATCTTTGACCAGTTTGCGACTGGCAAAGTGAAGGTGAAATGAAATTGGGCTTTACGGCCTAATACAGCGCTCTAAAGAACGGAAAAAAAGAAAAAACAAGGTACAATTTAAGAACTAAGGTTAAGTGTTTTTTAAGAATTAATTTCCTCTGTGCTATTTTGAAAAGCAGGAGAGTTCGCCACACATTTACTGACATAATGCAAAGCTGCAATGCTCACAAGCATATGTTTCGAAGGTGCGTCCATCACTTCATTTTCTCCCATCGTCGATAAAAAGATTAAGGAAATCTTTCGATGTTGCACCCTCACCAAGATCTTTCGTTGGGCCATGAGGAAATTATGGTAAACTCTTCGATGTCAATTTCACTCAATGTGTTTGACCATTGAACCCTATAGGCATATCTTCGTTGTCGCTATCTACTTCATCATCTTCTTCTTCGCTAACAAAAATATGGACATCGGAGTTTGTTTCCCCTTAGTGCTTGCCGAAATCAAAGATCTACCCGATTTCTCGATCAACATCACGCAGAGTTTTCTTGTAGCCTTCTCTGCCGTTCCTGTTGAATTTCAGCCACTTCTTCGAGAGAAAAACCAGGAAATATTTCTTCTTCTTCATCGGAAGAACGCGAAGTATCGTCAAATACGCGAGAAGCCATGCTAAAATACTGAACACTATTTTCAAAAATTTGCTAAAAATCACACAGGAATCGCAGAATGAAAAACATAACATCAAATGAAAGGTTAATTTATGCAGGTCACGTTCAGATATATTTCAATACCCAGGGAACTACGGTTTCTTAGCTAAAGCGAATAAAAACGAGTCATATCTGACAGGGCGCATGAGGGCGCACTGGTTTTTCAGAGGGGGTTTATTTCCGGGCGCATGAGGGCGCACCGGACGTCAATGGGTTAAGTGGAAAAAAGTATTTGATCAACAAAAAAGTTAATTGTGTCTTCCAAATTTTAGGTTGGGACTGGGCATGTTCAGTTGGATAACTGTGTTTTGGAACATGGCCAGGTTCAAGTGTCATCACCTGGAAGTATTGTCATTCGTTACTGTACCTTTAATAATGCTTTTGTTACATTGCGTTCTGTTGGTTACAGCAGAATTGAAAATTGCAAGTTTAGCACGGATGAAACCTCTGCTGTGATCATAGAAGGGCTTCCACCAATTTCACGACCCAGGCCAATATCCAGACCTGTTGATGACTGGATGATATCCAACGGTATTGACTCTCTTGGTCTGGAAGACTTGTACGACCTGTCAGTCGTTGATGGGGAGGTGGGGGCACGCAATGGTCTGAAGGCAATTCCAGACAAAGGTGTACAGCCACTGAATAGCAAATGTCCTCCAGTTGGTACAAAAAGGATTGACAGTCAACCAAAAGGTATCAATAGCAGCCAATTGACTGCTCCTACCAGTGACACCTGCCAATCTAAAAATCCTCAAAGCATTGGTTGTGATTCCCGCCCAAGACGATACTACCTGGATACACAATGCCGTGACATTGTGAGGTCCATACATGGTTGCATTATAAGAAATAACTGCTTTTGTGTTGGCAAGGGAGCAGTGCTTGTCAGGCGCAGGGGACATGCCTGGATTGAAGGAAATGAAATTGGCCGTTTGTCACATGGTGTGAAATGTCTTGCAGGTGCCAAAGTCATCATTTTGAACAACAGAATTCACAATTGTGGAACATCTGGGATATTTTTCAGAGAGAGATCCACTGGTTTAGTTGCTGGAAACCACATTTATGGGAACAAAGAGGCTGGAGCAGACATACGAAGTGGCTCAGATCCAATTTTACAACACAACCATATTCATAGTGGGAAACGATCTGGAGTGGTCATCTTAGATCGTGGCAAAGGTGTCATAAGGGACAATGACATTTATGACAATAAAGAAGCAGGAGTTTATATTCTTTACAGAGGAAATCCTATTGTCAAGTATGCTATTTTCACAGTTTGTGCGCTTAATATTAAACTGCGTTATCATCTTATTGTTTTAAATTATAATAACCTGCTGTCCTTTTGTATTACTTTACAGGCACAACAGAATCTGGGCCGGCCGTGCAGCAGGCGTGGCTGTCACGGAAGAAGGAAGAGGTCACATCCTCTACAATGACATCTGTGGCATGGAGTGGGGAGGTGTTGACATTCGTAATGGTGGCAACCCTGAGGTCACAAACAACTGGATCAGGGATGGGCATGCTGATGGTATTGTCATTGGGGAGGGTGGGAAGGGAGTCATTATGGACAATGATATTCGAGGTAAGTTATTGTCACTAACTGCTAGAAAACTAAGCATCTTTTCTGTACTTTTCTCTTAACTAAAAGAACGTGTTGGGTACAAAGAAATTGTCATGTCCTCCAAATTAACATAAAATTTGCATTTGGGCTGGCTGTTTTCTGTGCTTCAACTTATAAAATCCCCTGTCCCTCAAGCTTAAAAATGATGCCCATTTGGGCCAAACATCCTTGTGAAGGCTGGTTAAGGAGTGCATTACATTCTTGAGGTAACATTGTCCCTTTACTATCAGCTTGATTGTTGTCATTGTCTTGAGATGATTCATACTTCTGTGCAAGAATCTGTGAAATTTTGTTAATCATTATTTAATTCATTACTCTCCAAGGCTCTTTTGACTTGTCCTCTTTATTGTCTTTGTTCTATATCACTCATGAAATTGACAAGTTCTTTCACAGGAGATGAGCCAGAGTTATTTTTGGTGTATGATACTTTTATAGTGAATTTTTAGGAACAAATTGCAGTGTGCACCCCTTGAATGAATTAAAAATACCTTTTAAGACTTTTGAAGAACAAATTTAACAGCCAATGTTAATCTTTTTATTTGTAATGTGCAGGCAACAGTGGTTGTGGGGTCTGGATCCTAACTGTGTCTAAACCACTTGTCTATGGAAATCGTATTGTGGACTGAGGTGACAGTGGGGTGGCACTTGTTAGTAACAGTGATCTTCACCATGACAACCAACAACTCAGTTCACAGTTTGCACAGTCAGAGCAAGAGGTGAGATGTGCAGGTTGCTCAAACACAGGGGTTTTATTTTTGGAAAGCAATTGTAAAAAAATTGACTTCATAGTTGTGGTTGCCATGAGAAATTGACATAATGTTTTCTTAATTTAAGATGTGAAAACTATGCTGCAGGGCCCTCAGGGTATATTGTCCTATGAATTTGTCAATTCGTTTCTTGCCAAAAAAACAAAAAAACACTTCTTCCTTTCCAGATTTAATCATTGTCTTTCAGACACTGGTAAGTGAGAATTTCTGTGTTAGTCAGTTAGTCATTCAGTTTGTTAGTTGGTCTGGCAGTCAGTTTGTTGGTTGGTTTGTGGGTTGGTCTCTTAGGTTATTTTTGGTCAATACTTTCTGAAGGGTAACATTGATTTTCAGGAACAGCAAATTCAGCCTCTGTTCTTTGATGAAGATTTGTCCTCTACCTCAAACTTTGAAGACCACGAGCAATCAGTTGACTTGAATGGTAAGTAAACTGAACAACTTCAGTGAAGAGGGTGCATGGGGGCTTTAAAACTTCACATTTCCCTCTTGTGTTAATCTTGAGTTTTAAAAGAGCACTTAAGACGTACTTGTTTACTAAATTTATTAATAACAGATCATTGTTTCTATAGATTTATGTTTATTGCTTTAGTTTTAATTTTTCTTTTTTAATCATTGTGAACTCCAGCTATGTGTACGTATCATAATTTATAATTAGATATGGTTGTACATTTGTAAATATTTATTAATAATGTTTTTTATATGATTGTAGAGTGCCTTGAGCAAAGAATATGAGCGCTATTTAAATGAAGTTATTATAATTATTACTATTATTGTTATTATTATTATTATTAATCTAAGGCATGACTGTCACCTCTGTATCATGGATTAATTTGTTATGAAAGAATTTCCCCATCTCTTACAAAAGGTTTTCGTTTTTGACAAGGCCACAAAAAAAAGAAAAGATTCGCTCCCAGGTTTTTTACGATGCACAGGTTTTAAGCCGATTGCTTTTTGTTTAGTTCCGTTATAATTATGATCACGTGGTACGTTACCTCTCGCGTGTGCTGCAGCACCCCCACACGTGTCAAGCGCGTGTAATGCGTGGCAATCACACGCACCTCCAATGTGTGTGGTTACTGCGTTGCAGTAGTAAAACTAGACAGCGTGTACGCAGATGCGTGCATTTTAACGTGTCCTTTCTCATTCACTAGAAAACATTGAGAAACACAGTGCCTGCACAACAGCACACTTGCCAACCAGTTTTAATAGTTTCCTCTACACCAAAAAACAGTCTTTTTGTGTGATCTTCCTGTCTCTGGTCTTTGGTTGACTTATTGATTGATGTTTTTTTTTCCCATAAATTTTACCAGGTCCTCGACCAGACAAGAATTTCGCTTGTGTTGATAATAATACGATCTTTGACAATGCGGGACATGGGATCCACTTTTCCGGAAGTGAAGGTCTGCTCATCCGGGGCAATAACGTTTATAACAACGAAGGTTGCGGTATTAGCATCGCCAAGCCAGCGGAGATTACCATTCAAGATAATAGTGTTTGTAGGAACAGCAGCTCAGGTGTCTGCATTGAAATTGGCTGCGCTGCCAATGTCAGCGGTAATGGTATCTATGGAAACCGAAAGCATGGTATCGTTGTATCTGGCAAAGGACTAATTAAGGAAAATGATTTGTTTTGTAATGCAATGAGCGGCGTTGAACTCCGAGGACCAGGAGACCCTTACATTACTCGAAACCGCATCCAATCCACGGATAGCTATGGAGTGAATATTATGGAAAATGCACGAGGGTACGTGGACAGCAACGATATCTACCAGTGCACATCACCAGGAATATATCAACACCCAGACAGCACAGTACTGGTTATAAATAACCGTATTATTCCAGTAAATACCAAAAATGGCTGTCAAGTCTGTATTGTCAACCGAGATACCAACGAATGTAGCCATGACCCTGAGGGACTTGATCTGGACTCACCTCCTCGCCCCCTGTTGCCTAATAAGGAGAACAAATTTCCCAGGCCTCCCGTGTCACGTTTGTCGATGTCAACCTCTGGAAATGGTCATATAGTGGCCGGGATGGCCTCATGTCACGGACGGAGCCGGTTTTGTGTCATTTCATGATAATTATTTTTCCCTCGGGAGAATACGACTTACCTAAGATTTTCCACAACAAGCCATTCATTTTACAAACCGGATTATAGGAAGTATATTTTCAAGAAAGTAGCTACTTTAGTAATTTCCTTAACTGTAAGTATTGGTTTACAGCCCAGGAAGGGAACTTCAATCACGATTGAAGTTTCTCGTCGACTCATTGTACTTTCCTCTAGTAAGACCTTCGGTGATTACCACTGTGTCTTGTTCTCTTTTTTAACTGAGTGTATTATAGCTGATACGTTATAAAATTAACGTTTAGAGACACGGTTGTATCTACTTTACTTATGTGTGAAGCTTTTCAATCCCCTTTGCTTCTCATAAGGCTAAACAAGTTGAATCTAAATGATGAAGTACTGAATATTGTTGAAGAGTAAGAAAAAATCTTGCTTAATAAACAACGCCAAGGTGGTGTACGTTTCAAATTTTGCAAGCTGTTGTTTCGTTCGTAAACCCTCGTTACTGTAAGTAAATAAATTGACAGAGGAAGAACTTTTTCTTTTGGGATTCTGAACTCCAGGTATTGACATCCTACCTGTTCAGTTCGGTGGAACCGAGCCAGAATGACTCAGGGACGGGGGTACCTATAATGCATTAGCTCAACCCCATTTCGATTACTGTAGTGTCGTATGGAGGAATTGCAATAAATCTCCTTCCATTAAACTACAGAATCGCGCTGCGCGTACTGAACCTCTTCTCCATATGATGTCAATGCGGATGATCTCTTTGTTAGACTAGGCTGGGAAAAACTTGATCTTTAACGAGAATTAAAAACAGCCACTATGGTCTATAAATCTCTTAATCGGGTCTCGCCCCTGATTATCTGAAATCAATGATTACTAATCGGAGTGCCTTATCTAC